CCCCCCCCCCCGCGCCATACCAGGCCACATGAACTCGGCATTGGGAGGGTGCTTTTCCAGGGACAAGGTCCTCTTCCCACAACCCTGACCCAGTGATTGTGGGGGTCTGTGGGTAAGGGCTTATTTGCATCGGGAGAACCCCTTTCATCAAGGGGCACTCAGATGCTCCCCCTTGTGAATAAGTAAGGGGTACTTGTACCGCTACTCGTTCACTAAAGGGTTAATAAAAATCAATATAAAGAGACCAGACTAATCCTTTAACTGTAAAAAAAAACAACAAAAGTCTTTGACAATTACTTTAATTAAAAAAATAAATAAAACCCCCCCAAAATTCAAAAAAAGTTATGCAACAAAGTAATCCAAGGTCAATAATATCGTCCAGCAATGTCCACGACGCTGACTCATCAAAATAAAAAAACATCCTGACGCCTGCCGACCAGACCGCACACAACGTACTCCTGCCGCTAAATGAAAATCTACCAGGTCCCGGCCGAATGTAAACAAATCGGAGGAGTCAGCCGTAACATCACGGCTGGCTCTGCTCATTTGTTGTCATGCAATGACAGGCTACTGTCATTGGCTGAACCGAAGTGAAGTGAAGGGAGCCGAAGGCAGCCGATGTACAGCTGTTTTCAGCCGCACACAGCTGAAATGAATAGCCAAACGGCGTTTGGCTCCCTTCACTTTGGGTCCTTTATTCACTCGGCTGCCTTCGGCAGATTAGTGAATAACCCCCTTGATATTATCCACTTCATTATTATTATTACTTTATTATCAAATTCACTTGTAAAGCATCAATTGATTCCACCGTGGTTTAGTGACAATTCACAACAGTCTTTCTCTCACTAACAAACTCACAGTTCTATATCATGTGTACGGTTTGACATACATTAAGGGGCATTTTGAGTGGAAGCAGGGTCGTCATTAACGTTGGGCAAAAGGGACAGTTGCCCTAGGCCCAGTCATTGCTGTGGGGCCCAAAGCAGCTGCCCCTTCAGCCCGCAAAAGATACACACATGGCACCGTTCTGTTTACCATGCAATCGGCATTGCATAGTGTTGCTCCGTCCCTACCATACACTGTGTAGTATGACCGAGTGATGTCTCACGCGGGGTCACGTCTCCCTCTGATGTCTCCTCCTATCTGATCTGCAGGGCTGGTAGGGGGTGAGGCATGGCAGGAGCTTGGCGGGTAGGAGGCCCAAGAAAATGTTTGCCATGGGGCCAATCAATATTTGTGTGGAAGTGATCAATCTGCGAGTGGGTTTTTTGAGTTGTGAGAGGAAACAGAAATACATGAAGGTAACCTGTATAAACATGAGGGACATATGCCCATCTTTGAAAACTCCTAGGTGAGAATTTAACTTAAGAAGCCAGCACTGAAAGTACATACATGTCTCTTCTTGTGGACTGGATTTATACTGTAAACATGAAAATCAAGCAATGTCTGCACTACTTAGGCCTCATGCACAAACATGAGTTACATAGTTACATAGTATTTGAGGTTGAATAAAGACATTAGTCCATCAAGTCCAACCTATTAGGATCTCATTTAGGTGCATTTGGAGCTCATTTCTAAACGTACCTGAAGTCATGTAATGCTTTTTTATGACTGAATGCACACCTAGATGTCCAACAGTGTCTAGATGCATTCAGTCTAAAAGCAATTATGCAAACTAGGATTTTCAAACTAGGATGTGCACAAGGCCTTACACTAAACAGTGATTATTAATTCATGATCTAATCAACCATTATGATTGCAAAAATAATCTGTAATTTAAAAACTTTAATTAATCGTAATTTCTATTAAGTATATCAGTGATGTGCAGTGGAGTCCTCGCTAGGTGAGTCCCCGCCCCACCCCCGGCCCGCCCCAACCCAGTCACTGAGCTGTGTGGGAGAGGGAGGGAGGAGGGAGAAGGGAGGAGACAGGGAGGAGCCTTCCTGTCCCTCACTTGATCGTCACTGGTGAGGCATCGAGATCGATGTCCTCAGTGGTTTTATTTTTCTTTCTTTATTGGACAGCTTGGACCAATGGCGCTTTGCCATTGGTCCAAACCATCCACAGAGCTCAAGCCTCTAACACAGAGAAGAGGCTGTTGCAGCTCTGGCCTCACTATATTAGTTTACACAAAGCAGTGGGGAAGCTCGCTGCTGTGTAAACTAACTTAGCTGTTATTTAAGCACACTGGTACTGTAATATTGTAATGTATTACTTTGGCCAGAGTCAGAGGCGTAACTAGTGACCTCAGGGCCCCCATGCAAGAATCCATGAAGGAGCAACCCCCGCACCCCCCCCAGAAGGAAAAAATTAGATACATTTTTTTTTAAACAAACACATTTTAGACAAAAAAAAAGACACTCTCCTCTTTCATGTCTCCAGCTTCCCTCATCTCCCCCTTCACATCCCCAGCTTTTCCGCTCCCTGACCACATGTCACCTTCATAGTCCCAGCTCCCTATATCTCCCCCTTCGTGTCCGCAGCAGCTCTCTATTCGGCAGCATTCTGTGTGATGAGGGCGCGGGGATAACACTGCTTCCCAATCATTGGCTGCTGCGCCGGCTGGATCATACTTCAGGCTGCGCCCGGAACAAGGTGAGGGGAGCAGCATGAAGCATGTAGGGCCCAGGACAGGAGGAAGAGGTCCCGGGACCGACATTAGCGGTTACCGGGATAATAAATATCCTGGTAATCCTGGTAATCAGCGGTTACCAGGGCCCCTTCCTCCTGTCCCAGGCCCCCTCCAAATGGCGGAACTCCAGGGCCCAGTCGCGACCTCTGCGACCCTGGTAGTTCCGCCACGGGCCAGAGTGTATAAGAACTGGTCACGATATATGTTTTTGGATTTACCCAAATATGAGAGTAATTTACTAACATTTCACAATACCCTTAGAACAGTTAACTGGTTAGGTAATTAAAAATGTACAGATCATAATAACATCTAAAATCTTTTTAGCTAAAACAATAAAATTATTCTTACTTATTTTTTAACACTTATTGCTTGATACAATATTAAAAATGTAATGTAAAGGTAGCCATTTTTTTTGCATTAGACTGTTTCTTATTTCTCAGATTATTGCTAATTTATATTGAACATTTACTATAATTCTAGTGAACGTTCTATACCACAGATATATACAGGATTGAAAATGGTTGGCATATATCTTTTTAAATTTCATTTTGAAAAATTGCATATTCCGCATGCCAAAGGTACTACCCCAACATACTGTACATGGCAAAAGGGGGGAAGGGTATTTCCATGATGGGGAACATGGGAAAGATAATCTATACAAATTCTGCCTCATTCTGTAAACAACAGTAAATTATTTCTATGACTCAAGGGCAAATAAAGATCCTGGAGGTAGAATACTTTTTAAACCAGTGAACCAGAACAAGCATAAAAATCTGGATTTTTTTATTTAGTTAGGATAATAGAAACTTGTGCTAAAAGATTAACTCTCCTACTCAAACTGCTAGTTGCCTGAGGCTCTGACTCACAACAAGCATGCAGATTGCCTTCACTCTTTACTTGCTGCATGCAATTTCCAGGCTAGTAACTCGTGCGATAGTGGCAGACAACAGGTATTTTCAGAAAGGCAAAAACAATCTTCATATTATAAAATATAATAAAATATATTAATATTATAATATTAAAAAATG